AATAAATACATAAATAAGAAAATTAATTAAAAAATAAATTAATAAGGGCAAAATTGTCTTTTTAGGTAAGACAGAGACCAAACGTGCAACAAAAATAAACAGTAGGGACCATCCAAGTTAAAAAAATAAGTTAGGGACAAAAACACAAATTCCCCCAACCAGGGACCATTCGTGTAATTTAATTTTTACTTTTTGTTTTGTTCATATTTGGGTAACTATTTTTTTTGTACGCATCTAGGTAACAAACTTGTTGAAAGCGTTCACATCTAGGATTTTACCTGCTATAACAGGTCATAATGGTCATATGTGAACACTTCCAACAAGTTTGTTACCTAGATGTGTACAAAAAAAAGATAGTTACCCAGATATGAACTTACCGAAAAGTTAATTACCTTAATAAGTCATATTCCCTTCATTTATATTCAGACAGTTCAATTCAAAAAAGATGAACCACATTGTATCTATACAGATATCGTTGTCTACTTATCCATTCAATATCTTTTTTTTTCTTTTTTTATCAATTTATGACTTATTAGGACAAATAAAAACTTATCCGTTCTTTTTTTATCAATTTATGCCTTAGTTGTGTAAGTGAAACAAATTTGTTATTATTCACACCAATACATAATCAGAAATTATAACCAATTTATAAAGTCTAATTTTCTATCACCAACAACAACAAATATTCAAAAAAAAAAAGAAAAAAAAAAGATCAATCATCAACGTGCATTCACAAGGAAAGGATGCTGACACACACTGCATTCTATGGTTTTTGAACCCGTAATCGGAACCTCAACCTAAAAATAAATTAAAATTCCAAATCTTTATTTTTATATAAACACAAAGAAAAAACAAAAACAAAAATATATTTTCAAATAGAATTTAACAAACCTTCAAATGCACTGTGCAAGTTGGACATTCAACCTCTTTCACATTGGATTTTGATTCTGTAATTCTAAGCTTCTTTTCCATCTCCTCCTGTCATCCACCAAACAAAACTTTATAATTTATTTATATTACTAAATAATTAATAAAATTACAAGTATTTAATTTAATTAGCACCTCAAGTTTTTTTGCAAGATCTTCATGCCTATTAAACCCAGAAGAACCTCTACCTGCCACCTCATTCACATGACTCAGCCTCTGAGTAACTTCAGCCTATTAAAAAAAATTAATGAGTAGAAAATCAAAATTTATATATACATTATAATTTTTTTATTTTATTTTATTTTTTTTAAATTATGCATTGCATACCATGCATTGGTCACAAACTCGAACTTGTTGAGCATTTTCCTCTGTTGTGAG